CGGTTTACTATGTCTCTCGAAGCCGCGAATTGCCTCGGATGATCAGCAAATATCGGACAAAGTGTTCCCTTGACATCTGAACGGCGTGCTCCCCATGCGAATAGACTGTGGTCCTCTGAATTCTCCATGATCTTCTCCTGGAGCCGGAGGAAAGCTTTGTCTCTTTCGCCATAGTGTAGCGGCATTTGGACGTCGAAAATACCCATTAGGCAATACGCCAAGTCTTCTACTCTTGTTGTTGTGCGTCCAGCCATCCAACTCATTCGCTTTGCGATGCTCTCATCCAACACGTCGCTTTCCTTCGAAAGTACGCGTTGGCTGATTCCAGTGATGCCCTCCAGCTCTTTGAGTAACAAATCCTTCTTGCCGATGTATCTCCACTCTGCGCCATAGAATTGAAGATGTTCCGGGGCTATCAACTCTTGTAATGTCCATCCGCGCGTGAAAAACCGTGACTTGGCGAATGCGTCATCGTTGTATTTGGAGTTGAGGACTCCCCCCACCTTCGCCACGGACGATACATTCACATCGTCTAGGTAGGCGTAGCAGACTGCTGCCTGCTGGTACCACCGAAACATGCTGACGATCGTTTCGCCCAGGTCCGAGGAGGATGTACTGTCGATACAGCAGGTATCCACCCATACTAGCGATAGGCGATCGCTGAGGGCTTGTTGACAGGCTTTCAAAATCTTCCAGTAGCCTCGACTGCCTTTCCAAGCATCCGCTTTTGGTGACCGATCTGTAAACTGCTGCAGGGTAACTTCGTCTTCGCCCCAAGTGTGGGCTAGGATGGCATATGGTGGTACATGAGTTTCGTCCACGAAAGTACGGAGCTCAAGGGTTCTAGTGTCGATGAGTCTCATCGTTGCTCATGGACGCTGCGAAATTGAATGATGAAGCTAAATGTGAACTTAGACCGTTGCGTCGTGAGGTTTCCGTTCCGTCCAGCGAAGTTTGCCGAGGAGTTTTGGAGACTCATGTTGGCTATAGATATATTCATCGTCGCGAGTCCCACACGCGCGCGCCTATACTGGCTTGACTGAAGAACCGCATTTGAGGAAAAGATCTGCTTGACGCAGATGGCCTAGGATGCTACATTGCCTCTGGATGTGGTTAAATTCTGATCTTGCACTGATGCAGGTTGCAGGGCGCCTGTTCAGCGTCTTGCTTGTATGAGGTGAAGGAGCGGTTAGAAAGAACGGACGAATGAGCGGCCGTCGGGGAGGCTCCGGTGGGCGTTCCCGACGCAGTACCCCAGATGTATAGGCAGCCGCCGATACATCATGCAGTAGGACGTTGCATTAACATTTCGAATCTGGAAGTATACTTTACTTTCTTGCTAGGTTCACTGGTTGCTTTGCTTGGTTCGGCGAATGTTTCACGCGTGCGACATGTTGACAGCTAAACTTCAGGGTCCGGCCCTTCACGTGACAGATGACGCGGCGGCAATCGTAATGCACGGCTGAGGCACCGCCTCCTTCATCCTCCTGATACTTTCGTTCTGCAACACCTCTTCGCCTTTCAACCTTTGAATTATCCTGAATACAACCCACGATGTCTCCTAGCAAGTTGGGTGTTTTCGCCCATTTGGCGCTGGCCGCCAGCGCCGTGCTCATCCCTTCGACCATGACGAACGTGGAAGACCTCGGAGACGACCACGCTTTCGAATCTCTCGCCATCAACCCCAGCCAGCGATCTGTTGCGCTGGAGTGCCCTGGATGCGCCGTTGCCACCTTGGATGGAAAAGACCTCAAGTGGAAATCTGATGTTGGGAGTGCCTTCGTACGTAGTCGGCTACATGCCTCACAGCCTCGCATGCTAACAACCAACAGCGCCTGGACTTTGACGTCGGACCCCATGGCGACGCTTTAAACCTCAACAACGCCCAACTATACCCGCCATCGTTCGGCTTCCCTCCCCAGCCTTACACTCTCACACAGGTGGACCCATCTACAAAAGAGGGTCTACGTCTGCAAATCACCGGCTATGAGTTCCGCTACGACGGCGCAGAGACTATCTCAGAGGAGGGCACCGAGCTTCTTCCGATGACCTTCCAAATCACCTCGGTCGAAGGCACTACTGTCAATCCTCCTGCGCTTCAGATCAACGTGCTGAAGAACTCGGAGGGTCGCCTCATGATCGCATCCTTCAACGAGGCTGAGCGCAGCCCGGCCACACCATCAGACAAGGAGTGCAACGAGTGGCCGCTTTACTGCAAGTGGAAGAACATCATGGCCGACCGCATCGAGCAGATCAAGGGCATGCGCAAGCCTAGGCCCGGCTGCCACAAGCGACCCCATGCCGGTGCCCGTCCCAATAACCCCATGGAGCATGAGGGCATGGCTGGAAAGCCCCCGCACCGCTTCCGCCCTGGCAAGCCTCACCCACACCACCACCCTCACCACATGGGTCAACACCGTCACCACGGCTTCGCCAAGATGGCTCGTCGCGCCTTCTTCACCATCTTCGTCCCTATCCTCATCGGTATCTTCGCTGGTACACTTACATACCTCGTGGGCATGGCTCTCGGATGTCTCATCGCTATTACCGTTGCCAAGGTCCGTGGCCAGCGCTACCAGCCGATTGCCTTGGATGAGGAGGATGTCGAAGAGGCGGAGGAGCGCGGAGAGAAGGAGGAGTACGCCGAGCTTCCAGCATACGATGCTCCTCCTGTCTACGAGGAGGCTGCTGTCAAGAAGACCGATGAGACAAAGTAAAGCTTACTCTAGGTCTGGAAGACGGTACGAGTGGCGAGTGGATATGGTTATGCCACGCTTCTGATTAGATGGATAGTTTGTAGCATGCCCCTCGTTTATAGTCCGTGTTGATTAGCTAGCTCTCGCAATGAATCTCTTTTAGTTCACACCGACAGTATTGATGTATCACTTTGAAGTGCAAGTCTTACTTTACTCATTGCTAACGCTTGAATCCGAAATTTAACGATCTCATTGCTGCTCCATAATGGCATCCCTCTCCATGCAGATGAAACCCAGCGTAGGTAGACACGTCTTGTACCACATGGTTCGTCCCAACATGACCACTGAGGACTTTAGACGGCAGCCGGGTAAAGCAACTCCAGGCAGCAATACGGATTACGTGACTCATACGTTTGCATTGGTAGGCATGCGCATGAGCAACCAGCAAGTATATCTAAAGAGTGGGACATGACCACTCAACGATAGGTTGCGACCGATATGACGCCATATTTCCATCTGCATCTTCTCAGAAAGCAGAAAGTAAGGGTATGATATAAGCCAAGTCTTGGTTCATTGAAGTATTAATATGTTGAAAGAGTTGAAGAGCCTGTGAGATGGCGGTGAAAGCTTCGAGTAGATGTCTCAAGGAAGTGAACGACAAACATGATATAAAAACTTTAGGAGACAAGAGTAGACAAAGTAGTGGATAGAGCACTTTTCGATATCAAACGCGTCCTTCTCGATTGCTTGTTGCGGTGGTTGGTGTAGTGTGTGCACAGCGTGAACGCGTCGTGGAGGGGTGAAGAAGGCGTGCCGTATTTGATACAAGACGCGCAAAACATTGTTCGATATTGCAAGATGTTCTTTGTATATTCGTTCGTCTTCCAATATGTTTTGAGAGGGTGCAGCACGCTGTAGCCGCATGCAGGGCGATTATCACAACCCGACGTTGGTGTTCCAGTCGCGTCGGCAGGCCGCGATTGAAGTTCCCGCACGGGCCATTTCGCCGACACCTGCAGCAGCAACCCGGCGCGCCTGCAAGCGCAGTGGGAATTGGAAGTGCTGCTTTCCACGCTTTTGATTTTCCCCCAGATGTGAAGGCGCAAGGCCTTTGATTTCATGTTCTGACTCGCCCCGACCGGGCCTAGCGCCACTCCGGCTCTGTGTGATCTGGAGGCACCCGCGCCCGCCGCCCTCGTCTATATAACCGGCCCACCCGCGTCTTTGGAGTCTTTTCTTTCTTCTCTTTTCGCAACCCCCAGCTTTCATCTTCATCCACGCCATTTACGCTGCACCAACGCGCGTAATATACCAATAACCATCACCTTCATCTCCACTAACCTTCCAACAACATGACTGGACGTAAGTACATCTTTATTCCTCTTCCATTACCGTCGCATCGACGTTGTCGTCGCTGTTGCCGCTGCTGCACATGGCGGTGAGGCGCGCTTGGTGTTGAGGCTCAACGCGTCGCCCCACTCATGCACCGCGCATCACGACACTCACACACAACCACCATGCCGTCGCGGCATCCCTCATTACCACAAGACAACATGCTAACATAGCTCTGCAGGCGGCAAAGGTGGCAAGGGTCTCGGAAAGGGTGGCGCCAAGCGTCACCGCAAGATTCTTCGTGACAACATCCAGGGTATTACCAAGCCCGCTATCCGTCGTCTCGCGCGCCGTGGTGGTGTCAAGCGTATCTCAGCCAGTAAGCATTCCCAACCTCGTCGCCATGCCAGACAAGTCCTAACATGACCGCAGTGATCTACGAAGAGACCCGTGGTGTCCTCAAGACTTTCCTCGAGAGCGTTATCCGTGACGCCGTCACCTACACCGAGCACGCCAAGCGCAAGACCGTCACCTCCCTCGACGTTGTCTACGCCCTCAAGCGCCAGGGCCGTACCCTCTACGGTTTCGGTGGTTAAACATCTCCTCTTCTCGTCACGACACATCGGCGCCCGGCATCGACAGCTTCTTGCGGCTTCTTGGTCGGGGACTGTCCGCATGGGTACACATTGTTTATGGATATGATCTGGTCACGGCTATCGGTCTTCACGGCGTTATGTTCATGGGTGGTTTGGAAATGATCAATATGAAGCTTCGATCTTCATTTGGCTACTTCAGTCAATGCATACATATTCATGCACCTTGCTGTCCAATTGTTTTGTTCTGTGACGTTGACTCATGTTGTGCCGTCTTTAACTCGAGCACAGCTTATCGCTTACTATACTCGACAGTATCTGACTCTAGACAAATCCCCTTCCACCTTGGCATCCTCCGACCGCCATCTCGTCAGGTCCACTAACACTTCTCCACGTTGGTCGCAGCCAGAGCCAAGAGGTACGCTTGAGTAACCACATTAAGCTGGTCAAACGGCTGTCCACTCTTCGAAGCGAGTATACCTTGGCGACTGATGATCTCGTTGTACAAGTTGCGATTCTCAATGTGAACGTTGCCAGTTCGAAGGATCACCATCGGTACGATCTTGACCTGATCGAGTTCAGGAACATGAACCTTTGCATAGCCTCTAGCATGACCACGATCCGGCGGCGGTACACCCACAATCACACCCTGGGCACCTGGGAATATCTCAACGTCGTCAGACGGGCTCTTGTAGTAGTGTCGCACTTCGTAACCGAAACCTTCGCGTATGGGAGCAAGGTCTGGGTTGAGGTTGGAATGGGTCCAGGGCTGTAGGTCGTCTCGGACGTCTTCCCAGAAGGTGGTTGCGGCGGCGGAGGTGTCGATGAAGCGTTCTACTGCGTTTACTCTTATGGGGAACGCATGCTCGGAGGGGATGAAGGCCATGTTGGTTGGGTGCGCTGTAGCTGAGATTCGTCAGTATTGAAGAGCTGAAGTGGGCACTGTGGTGGGAAGCGGAATACCTGAGTGTGTCGTGAGTGTAGTTGTCGGGATTTCGAAGTAATGTTGTTGTTGTGAGGATGTAGAGATGAGCGTGGTGTATATAACACGCTGAGCGAGCAAGAGCTGATTACAGATTGGGCGCGCAGGGCAAAGTAAAGGTACCTTGAGGCGGTGTTGATACGCGCAGCACAAATCCTCCCGAGGTGAAGTAAAGGCAAAATATACTGTATGAGCTTCTCTGTACACTGTCCGAGTGTCTCGTTCGGTGCAGCCTACCCACTTCAACTGTCATTCCCTTTCTGGATCCAGCTTCCCACCGCCTCCTCCACCTCTTTACAGCATCCCGTCACCCCAAACAACCCTCCCTCAACCCTAACACTCTCCAAACTCCACTTCTTCAGCTCTTCACTAACACTCTCCACGCCATCCTCCACAACCAGCACATCAAACCCCCTGTCACTTGCTTCCCGCACCGTACTACTCACACACGCATCCGCTGTGACCCCACAAACCACCAAATTCTTCACCCCCTTAGCTCTCAACATCATGTCAAGCTCTGTATGCATAAACGCCCCTCGTCCCGGCTTATCAATAACCAACTCTCCCTTCGCCGGCCTCAACTCTTCAATAATATCATGCCCCTCCTCACCACGGATCAGCAGACGACCCAACGGACCCTGACTTCCTATTTCTGCGCCGTTGACCCGACTCCGATGAGCTTCTCTACTGCTGACTGTTGCTAGCGAGGGATCATGACCTTCCCGTGTGTGTACGACGGGGAAGCCTGCGCGGCGGAACGTGGACAGTAAGGATGCGATGCGGGGAATCAGTGGCTCGAAACGTGATAGAGAGTAGCCTTGTGAGGAGAGATAGCCGCCTGTTGAGAGGAAGTCGCGTTGCATGTCTATGATAACGAGCGCGGTTGTGGTGGGATGTAGGGTTGAGTTATGTGGCCAGGCATACGGTGTTGTTGTGGGGATTTGAGATGCCATCGTCTTTTGGTAGTCAATTTATGCACTGAGTGTATAACAAGAGCAAATTGATGCTGCGATGAGGCGACGCACTATTTAGGTACGAGGAGTACTGTAAGATGTTGCGATGGTGGGCGTGGCGTGGTCCATTTGTGCATACATCACGTCGTAAAGGTTACTTAGCATCGCATTTTTGCGCGGCAGTCTGTTACGTTCGTGTATTTCTTGTATTGACTTGATTGATCCTATCGCGTCGGGTTGTAATAGCCGGCTATCGGGATCGGCAGGTACCTGTGCATCTCCACTCCTTCCGCACTTGCTTCACTCCTCACGCCACAACATCACCGCAATACCTCTTCGTACCTCGAATTCAAGAGTCAATAGACAAGAGTTGGAACCGACGAGCGCTTGAGACTTGAGCTTCTCAGCAGCATGCTTACGCATGACCGCCTACTTATCTCGTCCACTGTACCCCACTTCTACCTGCACCCTGGTTCCCCATCATGCCGCTTCCGCTTCCTATCTCGACCAACCCACTCCACACGCTTGATGCGCGATAAGACATGTACGAGATGCTTGGCGACTTCCCGAAATGGAATCACAACCTGGGGCAGATGCTCGTTATCTCGATGACGCAGGGTTCGGCCGTTGACGGCGCCATGTCGTTCAATGGCTGCGAGAAACGGGTTTGCGCGATACCCGGACAGGTATATGTATGCGGTCAGGTAACACTTGAACAATCGCTTCGAGGCTATTCGCATATTCACAGTCTTCTCTTGACTTTCTTTCTGTCGGTTTTGTGATAATCGAGATGGTAGAGATGGCGCACAGCCCAGAAGAGAAGAAGATCGTGGAGGAGGCCAATAGCGACGATGATGTGCTCGCGCAGCTGGGATATACCCAAGGTAAGTTCACAAAGTCACAATTGCGAACGTGTACTGATTGCGTTCACAGAGCTCAAGCGCAGCTTTGGCCTACTTGGGATGGTCGGCTTCTCGTTCAGTATTGTGACTTCATGGACCGCACTCTCTGGTGTACTCATCATTGGTGTTGAATCGGGTGGGCCGCCAGTCATGATCTGGGGCTGGCTTTGTGTCTGCCTTGTGACACTTGCTGTTGCGTACTCAATGGCTGAGATGTGTAGCGCGTATGTACACCTGTGCCTGACTATATGGCCGAGCTAACCGTCTCTAAGGTACCCTGTTGCAGGTGGGCAGTACTCTTGGGTGGCTATCCTGGCACCGACACGCTGGGCTCGCTCGATGAGTTATCTCTGTGGATGGTGTGTATTCTCAAGTTGACTTCCCAATCACTTCCTAACATGAACAGGTTCATGCTGATCGGAATCATATGCATGGGCGCAGTCAACAACTTCGTCGCTACGAACTTCATTCTCGGTACCGCCCAGCTCAATTATGGCTTTACGATAGAGCGATGGCACACAGTACTCATCGCCTATCTCATCACATTCATCGCAGCGGCATCTAACATCTACCTGCCACACATCCTTAACAAGCTTTCGAAAGCGATCTTCATCTGGAATCTCACTTCCTTCGTCGTCTGTCTCATCACCATTCTGGTTACGAACGACCACAAACAATCGGCAAGCTACGTGTTCAGCGACTTCGAGAATTTCACAGGGTGGAATGCGCCGTATGCTACATGCCTAGGACTGCTCCAATCAGCGTTCGGAATGTGCTGTTACGACGCGCCATCGCACATGACTGAGGAGATCAAGAACGCCCGGAAACAAGCTCCCCGCGCGATAGTCATGTCGGTTTACATTGGATTCTTCACCGGATTTGTCTGGCTAGTCGCATTGTGCTTTTGCATTGGCGATCTCGAGGAGACGGGTGCTACCGCGACAGGAGTACCTGTCATTGCCATCATATTCAATAGCACAAACAGTGTGGCCGGAACATCTACATTAGCATCTATGATCGCTATCATTGCTACAGTATGCGCCAACTCGCTCATGGCAGAGGGATCAAGAGCCGTATACGCCTTTGCAAGAGACAACGGACTCCCTTTCTCCAATGTACTAAGCAGGATCTCGACAAGATCGGTGCCGGTATACGCCATTATATTGACAGCCGTCGTCCAAATGGCTTTCAACTCCATCTACTTCGGTACAACAACTGGCTTCAATACCATCATCGCCATCGCCACACAGGGTTTCTACCTCTCGTATCTAATGCCCCTGCTCTCCCGCATTCTCGCCCACTTCTCCGGTAAGAAGACTCGATTGGAAGGCCCGTACTCACTCGGTCGCTGGGGCATTGTTCTCAACATTATCGGGTTCTTGTATCTGGGATTCATCTGTGTTGTGTCCAACCTACCTAGTGTCACGCCTGTGACGAGCGAGAACATGAACTACACTTCTGCGGCGACAGGTGTGGTTATGTTCATCAGCTTGATATTTTGGATCATGACTGGAAGGAAGAAGTTCACTGGGCCTGATGATGGGAATCTGTTGGATGTCGGGAGACATGTCGCGTAAGCTTCGGGTACCCGCTCGGTACCCTTTGTTGTTACTAGTGTCTCACCTCCGACGAGAGACAAATGGAGAATAGGACGTCTCTAATAATTTATCTTTGTTGACATGCTTGTGAGTCACTGTGACGCATAGCGCAAGGGTCGAGCCTCGCTACCGCCTGCGGTTAGCACAGGGTCCACGCACCTGCATCAAGGGATCGTTTGATGATTACGGATCGATACCACAACAACCTCACAATTCTCAAAGCTTCTGGCACGGCAACAATCTCGTCGGAAGTCGCCTCAAGCTGCCGAAATATAGAGCGCGCACCATCTACAGCTACCCCAGGCGACCAGTCTCACATCGTAGACAGACTGTTACACCATGTCGAGAAGAAAAAACGAGCGCGAAAAAGCAAGGCTCAAACGTCGACGCGAGCTTGACCAGAAAGGATACAACATCGCCAACACAATCGAATGTCGGACCCTACGGAAAGGAGCAAGGAAACAGATCGCACGCGACCGCGCTGTAAGACTATGGATCTATCCCTGGATCATGGCTCCGACAGGCCGATTTCGACATTCGTATCCAAAAGCCAGTCTTCTCGGCCTACCTTCCGAGATTCGCCAACAGATCATCTACGAAGCGTTCGGCATGACGGAGCTAAGACGCATGGTTGAGTACACAGAGAACAAGGGAGCTTTGGCGGCAGCTCTGACAAAAGAGAAGGCGCAAAAGCTGAAACAACGACGAGAGACAGCAATGGGTATACCCATGTCGCAGTTCGAAAGCGACTGCATCACGATGCTACATCGACGCATTGCTGACTTCTGTTGTGTGTCGCATTTCTTACACACGGATATGGAATATGTGGGAAAGCTATGGAAGAAAGATCTGGAGAAGTCACTCAAGTGGCAGTTCTCGACGCCGCTGAAACTGCACAAAGCGCCTACCCAGGAAACGGTTGACGTTCCGAGACGAACAAGGGGAAAAGTGGTCAAAGTGAAGGGGCCGGGCAAGCATGCTAGGCGACCCCCGAAGTGTTGGAAGTGTGAGGAAAGACATCACGACAGAGATCCAGTTTGTCCGATGGCGAGATATGATATTGAGAAATGGCGGCGACTGACGAAGAAGAAGAACAAGAGGGAGGACTGGATGGATACAATGCAGCCATGCTCGCTGTTCGTGGGGACAAAGATAGTGTTTGCCGATGACTAGGAGGTTGATGTAGGTAGAATGAAAATTGAAATACAAGCCGAGAGGCTACCTTGTCGCTGAGGTGTTTAGAATCAAACTTGAAGTATAACCCGGGAGGCGACATTTCGCTGCAGTCCGTTCAAGCATGGCTGTGTTACTCAATGTAGTCCGCACCCATTATTGTGGACTATCGCGTACAGTGGGTGAACGCAAGTTGTCTTCACCTTCACTAGACTGGAGCTGCTCTTTCCAAGGCACAATAGCCAGATACAATAGCAGGAAGCTGAAGTCGTGCCAGC